ATGTTAGGTCACATTTTGAAACGTGTCTCAAGATGATAATAAGGAACAAGAGAGATATGTAACCGATGTTGTAACGAACGCCTCTTTCGTGCATAGTTGCTAGTGAAAGTGTCAAACTGAAATGTTACCTTGTGTCTTGTAATGTGCTATTGACCTCTGAAAGAAAGACATCTAAATATCTATATAATGTGTGAATATTATATATATATTTTTAATTTTATCTCTTACTTCTAATTGGAAGTCTAGTTTTTCTAATTGGAAGAATTTATGCTAGTTTTCAGTATCCAGACACAAAAGTATTCTTAGATATGTGACTTTTTGGTTTTTTTTTTTAAGAGAAGGGGGCAAACGAGCGGCGGGAACACCGAGGTGATCGACGACACCCATGGACATCTGCAACACCAGAGGAACTGCAGATTGTTGCCGGCCTTTAAGGAAATGGTATGCTCGCTTCTTGAAGGTACCTAAGTCGTGGTTACCTAAACGTTGGTGAAAACGAATTCCTTACTACGTGCGTACTAAATGCTGCTTAAAGGAGCCCTAACTTTAAGGATAAATGATTGGTCAAAATGGCCAACGATATTTATTTCAGTTAGTAAAAGTTTTGAAGAATGAACACCATTGTAAATCCAACGATTAGTGTCCGGAAAGCATTAAAATTTTTCTGGTCAAATTTCAGGCTTTAGATCATATTTGAAATGTTTCATGAATATTTTGAATATAAAAATTCGATGGTTTCCTTGGGTTTTTATAAAATCTTATGAAACACTTTACGGGTACGGTCTAACCAATTCCTCCGTCGCTCTTTCAATTCACACCAAGTATTTTGATTTAGTGTCTACAATGTTTCAACATAAGATACCAAGAACTGCGGCCTAATACTTTTGTAGTTATAGATTTTTACTAATTTAATATAATACTTTTGTAACTTGATCCAACTTCATTTGCTTATTAGTACTTTTAGAGATTATTAGTTAAAATCCTTTGGCCCGATTGGCGCGCTTTCGTTACAAAGTCAAGTATCAACATTTTAGTAAGATTAGTGTCGCGCCTGTACACCGGCCCAGTGTCGGATTTTCTTCCTAACCGTACAAAGGAACCCTCAACTTTGTCTATGCCTTCTTTGAGTTACTTTTAAAAATAGAACAACTTTTTTTTAATTTTGTCGAAATTCGTTAGTTATTAATTCATACTCAAACACACCAACTTATAAATAATACCCCAATAATATACTCAAGTACACTAGATGTGAAAAAAAAATAATTATAGGGAATTGATGATACTTTTTTACGTAATGTACAAATATTACGAATGTCTAGTGTTTTGTACGTAAAGTGTGTCACCGTACTCAAGTTTCTTATTTACACGTGTCTATGATTTCGCATTGTTTTTATAAATAATTAAAAATGATGAGACGGTGAAATACCGAAATGTTTACGTGTATATTTTGTACACTAGCTAATTTATGGAATCGGTAGAATCTTGTTAAACTTATATAACTAACTTAAGTTATTGTTAAGTAACTTAAAATATAACTTTAAGTTTAGTATAAAATATGGAACAGAGATATAAAAGCGATCTTCATTGTAATATTGTTTAAAACTATAATACGAAATAAGCTTAAATTAAACGAGCTTTACTGTTTGAAAGTTTACGACACCGCATAACCCATTAAATAACCCATATATTCATTTTTATTTATATCGTATCGTAACTTTAAATAAATAACTGCGTAAATATCCGTACATAGCACTTACGCCATGATAATATATTAGTACACGAGGCGCGTATCAAAAGCTATATACCACGAAATCAAATAATTTTAACTTTATTTACCACTTAAGGAAAACCTTGAATTGAACGTCATTATTAGGTTAAATATATTTACTTCCTATAAACACGATTCCTAATGATTAAGTAAATATAATGTTGATTTTATGACAAAGTTTTATTAAAACTTTGATTATAGTCATTGCAAAATATCACGATTTCATGTCCAACGTTGATCGATTGCCCAATGTGTGTCACACTTATGTTGATTTAGGCCTCTTCTGGTAATAAACCTAAAGACCTCGATGAAGATTAATTTAAATTTATATATCATTCTAATCATGAGTTTCCACGATTTTTTTAAATTAATTATTAAATGGTTGTGCCCAAAAAATTCAACAACAACCAAAACATTTAAAAAAAAATCACAAATATAACAACAATTATAAGTGCTTAATTTTGTTTTACGCAAGTATAATAAATTACTAACTAGCGGTCGACTCTGACTCCTTCCGCAAAGCGGAATTAAAAAAACCTTAATTAGCATATATGTTCTTACAGACTATATTCTATATATATGCCAAATTTTATCCAGATCCGTTCAGCTGTACTGGAGATAACTTCAAAAACATCCATCCATCTTAACATTCGGATTTATAATATTAGTAAGATATTAATTAAAAAAATCAATTAATATTCCCAAGCAATGTTAAATCGGATTGTTAGGATTGTATTAATAAAACGGAACCTTTCAATCATCGATATCTTTTAAGCACATGACTTATAGACTTATATTTCATCTACTTAAGAGATATTAACTTAAGCTTGCAGAAAAAAAAAACATTAAATTATTCATAAAGCAATAATGACATTAATGAATGATGCCAGCCATTTCATAGATAACGAAATCCTGTAAGTATCCTATATTAGTTTTGAGATGAATTATTCACATAGATTAATTAAAAAAAAGCACATATTCTCATTAAGTACTTAATATTTACATTTTTTCTCTACAGCTATTAACCTAAGAAGTAACTAAGAAACGACACCAAGTCACTTCCATTGCTTACGAACTGGGTGGTGTTAAGTTCGATTTTTGTCATTAAAATTTCAGCGTTCGGTTGGTTTAAAGAATGTATTATGTAGTAAGTAATATAATTAGTTAAGTAAAATCTTAAAACGAACAAACGTATTTAATTTGTTTTAAGAAGTCAATAAACTATGAAGTTTAAAAAGTTTGGTCAGTAAACATGCAAACAATCAATTCTACAATTTTCATTTTATTCAAAATTACTTCAACAGTTATATTCTGTATAATCTAAGATATTAAGCTTTAACGCGATCAAATCAATCATCACATACCGAGCATGACAAGTTATTTTTTTTAAATAAAAAATAACGTTGGGAATGTTGCCAGCTACATTTATAGTAATTTAGATTTGTTATCTACATTAAGAGTACAGACAAAAAAAGTAAATACCATCAGTGCATATTATCCGGTGTGAGATTTTATAAGTGCAAGAGTAAATTATGTATTACGAAAGATAACTGTACTTGATGAAAATTTAAGTAATCACGAATAACGTGATGTTTTTGATTTGTATTGCGTCGTTTGTTGGTACTTTTTAAATAATTCTTATTAGTTTTAAGTAACTGTTTCCAACCGCTACTTAAGTTCTGAGAGGTAATAATAAAATTTTAGTGTACTGTTACGCGGAAACTCATTAAGAACGTAATACAATGATTAAAAATAATCACCAATCCACTTTGAAACAGTACGATTATTTTATAATTTTGTATATTATCTTTAACCATAATAGCTAGTAGCTAATAGCTTGGAAATATTATTGTTTATAAGTTTTTTTAAACATCTGACGAAGGACCGTATTTTGAAAGGCCTAATTTTAGACCTCTGTTCCTCCCCTCCCTTTTCTCATAAAGAAAGGATGGTAAGTGGATTTGTCAAAAGAGAAGACGCATAGGAAGGGAAAATATCCTCTTTTTGTCCGTCCCCTCCTCCGTCGACTAAAGATAGGCAAGGCAGCTGCGTTGCAGGTGTCTGTAGGCAGCGGTTGTTTCGCCATTTTGGCGAATTTAGGTGGCATTCGCATATTGGGGAAACCTACAATCCTCATGTCTTCTATCTATCTTTAGGCATCTCTAGCGCCTTCCGAAAAACAATATTTTTTCACTGATAAACTGATGTAGGCGTTTATGTACTGTTAACTAAAATATTCAGATGTGATTTTAATACTATTTTATGTGTCATAGACCGTCTATTTGTCTCTATTTGCGGTACCACTGCACGGTAAAAATCAATGCAATCTAAGCATCATAAATCAATATAAATAGGTCTTAAAACCGGTTTAATACTCAAGTATATTCAAGGATGAAATGTCGTCGACCGAAAATTCTGTAAAAAACGCATTAATATATACCGTTTGTAAAATGCCGCACGTAGTTATACTTATGTACTGGTAGGTAATATTTTTTTTAGTATTTATCTGGAAGTGATTTCGGGTCAGTAGTATATAGGTTCTTATCTCGGAAATTTCGGGTTTTAATTTTTATGATAATAAGGAACCCTAAACCGATTTGTGAATGATGATTCGATAGTGTTCGCATTGGTAGAGACACTACTGCGCCCTCAGAGCTTAAGCCTACAATGCTAAGAAGGATAGGCTAATAACTAGTTAAGTTTTTAATTCCTCTCGGACAAACTCATAGGTTAAAGCTCTGTTTATTCAGCCACAAAACGCCCACTTCAGGGCATAGGCTTCTCCTAAAGATTTCCACGCACTTTATATCTGTCTTTTTCTGTTTCGTCATAAAATTCTCCAGAGACAACAGTATTGGCGTCGAATTTAAAACATCATTATATGACAAACAAATAATTTTATTTCTGTATAAAGCCCTGCAAGCTCTCGTTTGGCAACCAATCAACATTGTTTCAAATCGGGTTTGTAACAGGATTGTAAATTCCAACCTTTAATTATGCGGGTTGATTTCTTAACAAGATGTTGAAAACTTTTGTTGAAATTAAAATATAAATATTTGCAAATATTTTTTCCCGAAAATTAAAAAGTTTCAACAATATTAAAAACATAAAAGATTTGTAATTTTAAAAAAAAAACTATGACATAAATATACTTATAGATAACCTTTTTTGAAGTAAACAAAATGTCATATTTGTTGATAAAGTAAAACATTTATTTCATCTCTTTTAAAACAAAGGCATCTAAGAAGAATTAAACAGCTTTCGAATAAATGGCAAGAATAACAAGAATAGCGTTAGACTTCGCTTTGGGTACGTATTATCGTAAAGTTATAATATCGTTGACCAACAACCCAAACGAACTAAACAAATCCTCTAAAAGTAAAAATAAATCTTCATAGACTTAACACTTCCATAAACATATCATTTTTAAGGAATTCTTAGGTGATATTTTAAAGAATGTAATTAATTAAGTAAGGTAAGTCTTTGTGAATTAAACGAGGATTAAAAAAGAAACTGCAGCAAATGAAATCATAAAAATGTATTATTACATACTTTACTATTCTAAAATCTTCTATATCTTTATTTATATAAATCATTGATCCATTTGTTACAGTTTCTATTAAAACAATTCGACCTGCTGTATCTAGGTTATGGAGAGGATCAAAAAGTTACATCCTTGAAACTTCGGCTAAACGTCTCGTAGACAATAATTTAGTGACAAGGGCTGAACATGCGCTCCATGATGCGACAGAGAATTTAGAAACAAAATTAACTACACTTCGAGATAACCAGCTACCAAAAGAAGTCGAATATCTCGAAAAAGAATTACAAAAAGCTAAGGAGAAAATGAAAAAAGATAATGTATGTTAGGCTAAAGTTTTTTATTTGAATAACGTTTAGGTTAGTTAAATGCAATACGCGTAAATACATGAACTCCTCAATAAAAACATAACATAGCACTCGTCCCACCAGTCAATAAAAGGCAAGGTTCACATAATTTTTGAGTATTACTCTAGATGTTTCGCGAAGTTATGCTTAATTATAGCTTTAAGGAACATTCTGAGCTATTGTATCATTGATTGATTGTACTTAAACATTCTATACAATTTTAGTAACTGCTAAAGCCGTCAAGCCTGCGATTGGTACAGCATGGCAATATGCAAAAATAGAAATGGCACCGCCGTTAACTGTTGCATATTTCACCGGACGAGGTGGTCGCAAAATAGAAGAGCTTGCATCCAAAACAGCAAATAACTTGATCGCTGGCTTAGAAGCTATGGTACGTGATATGGAAGCAGAAAGATTAAGGCAAATAAGACTTAAAGAGGAAGCTGTGAAAGCCGCGCAAGAGAAATTAAAAGAAGAAGCCAGAATTGCGAGGGAAAAGGCCGAAAAAGCTAAGCTAAGCTCATCTAAGCAATTAGGTAAATCAAAGGTAACTAAAAAGAGAGCTAAAAAAGTTGATACGAAGCCAAAGGCAAAGGCCAAAGCCAAGGGCAAAGGAAAAGGAAAACCAAAAGGAGGGAAGAAGCCCAAACGAGGAGGCAAAACGTGACAATGGAACAATCATATTAAAACTTTCTCTATGTTATCAATTTCTGATTGTGTAATTTGTTGAGTATTTGAATATGACATTTCAAAATTATTTTTAATTGATAAAGTTTTATTTAGAGACGTATTTGCATCCTATTCCTGTTTGCTCTCTTGTTCGAAAATATCATAAATAAATTTTTGTCCGTAATGCATACGTTTTATTTATTAGTTGCTAAGTATTATTTTAATTTAGGTGAGGCTCGCTACTTTTTGTGGGAGCATTAGGAGTTATAATAATGAGTTTACATAGGTCTAACGATAGACAGACCGACATAGGTCACGTAACTCTGTCTAAACGAAAAGGTATGGTAAAAATGGGTGCCCTGGGATTCTCGCCCAGAGCGCTGGTAGAGCTAAAACCGTTACTGAGCTGTCAAATTAGTTTTCTACTGATGTGAATGAATTCACAATTATTGTTTCACCTCAGTGAATACCTATTATACCAAATTGCAGGCCGTTTGTAACTGTTTGTCATCGCCAATACCTCAGAAATAAAATAATTTTAATTAGAATTTATTAATGACAGTTAACGTCAATGTCAAAGTTTAATCGCACTGTATTAAAGTATTAATTTCTGTGACTTTGTGACCATTCCTTATTCTGTAAAGAGTATAAAATATAATATTATAGAAAATGAATATTTCAAAAGTGACAAATAGTCTAAAGCGTAAGTTATTTTAATCTATTTGGTGAACATTTGGAAATAACCTAAATTAGTTTACAATACTTCTTACTTTTTCAACAGGCGTTAGATTATTGCAAACGATCGCTGGGACATATGAGTTAACTCTGAACAAGAATAAAGGCAGATTGTCGAAGATAATTTTAGGTAAAAATCACTATCTGATATTCATGTCCTTATTGCTTTTAGTGCAAAAAAAGTCACCTCTTAACATTTATTTGAAAAAACTATAATAAAAAAATGTCTAAAACTTCACACATTACAGAATTTTCGTATCGATTTTGTTGCCAAATTTCCAATGAGATTGTTTATTTTTACAACTATAGAGAAATCAAATCGGGTGATGCAGTCAGACTTGGCAGATAAAATAAGAATTGCTAGGCGCTATTTTACATTAGAAATGAGTCCGCCATCGAGCTACGAGTTAAAGGTAATTTTTTTAACCCAAAAATAAACATACCCTGATGTTAGTGCGGCAACAACAGACACATATCTTAATCTGTACATTGTAAAGAATACAGATCTTAATATGTGCTTCATGATAAGTATTTAGGCTTAGAAAAAAATACAATACAAGAACCTTAAGTCCTCAGTAATCTGACGTCATACGAATAACCTAATAATTTTATCCATAACTGAGTATTTTATTTTTAATTTTTGACATTTAAAAGCAACAGTCAATGCTAGTATGCGGCTTTGGGCATCATTGCCGCAATGCAGTGTATTTCTTGAACGTTTATGTCCACTTAGATTTTAAAATACAAATTTTGGTTTATATATTAACAGACTCTCGCAATGGGCATCGTATTTACTCGTATGACTTCTTCAATGCGTTTTATATTTACCTTGTACTGTTATTGGTAAATAGTTGTCAAGGTAAAATTTATTGCCGCCTTTTATCTAATCATAGGCCATCGATCAATCACAACAATTTTGAAATCGTGCGGAATCGGGATATCTTTTTTAATTGATTCGTCTTTTTTATTTTCAAACATTGTTGAATAAAAAGTAAATAAAGTATAAAAATGTGAAAACTAATACTAAAGTTTAGTTAGGAAGAATATTTGGACATCTGTACCCCTAAGGGAATAAATGAACCAATCCTAATGAAAATAACAATGTGACGGTTGGAAATATTGGTTCTATTTTTCAGACTTTGCAAGAGGACATAAATTTAGTACGGGAGTTTATTCAAAATAAATGCTTCAAATATTTGACCGTTAAGCAAGCTTTCCTTATATTTTTGGTGTGCACCGAAGTGGGCTTATGGTTTTTCATGGGAGAAACCATCGGAAAAATGCATTTTGTTGGTTACAAAGTGTAACACTGTCTTTAAAACTAATGCAATGATACTTGAATAATAAAATTATATCTTATAATTTTTTTAGATTTCATTTTTGTATCGGTGTGTGTTTTGTGTCAAAAATTAATCGTGGCTTGGTAGGCAATGAATTCCTTTATTGTTAAAATACATGATAAAGTAATTGAATTCGTTCAATGCGTCTCAATAACTGACCTAGGCAAATAACAAACAGGTTTCATTGAAAGAAACCTATCATAACACGAGATTTAATTTAAGTTTATTGTGTTTAAAATTAAATTTCTGAACGAATCCGTAAATAAATGTGACAGTGCCATGACAGCTTTTAAAGTTTGACATTGACGTATAGACGTCATTCCAGCAAGATGGCAGATGGCAGTGAAGGTGCAATGCAAAGGGGTGCAATGCGGTGTTTCCGCGGAAACGTTAGGACGAGAATCATGATTGTGAAACATAAAAAAACTTTTTAAAAATGACGTTAAATGTGTCTTGTTAATATTTGTGTTGGGAAAAATACTCTGTCCTTAGTACTCCTTGCTGTTTTAATATTAAATAATTTTTTTGTTAGTAATGTTGCGGCGAGTAAACTTTTACTCAATATGTATCGCGTTTGGTCTCAGTGTTCTATTAATTCTTGCTGGAAGTCGATATACAGATAACACGAATTACCGTCCGTCCTCTGAAAATCGAAGAAATATTAAAAACATTCAAAAAGTTGAAGATGGGGAAGAGTTACTTCAGCCACTACCAACAAATGCAGACGACGGTTCTCCAGACATCGAAAAAATTATTGAAAAAACAAGGTCGAAAATTAAATTTGAGTTGTGGAACTATAACTACACTGCATCTGGAGTCAATAATCTTGAAAATCTTCTAATGGAGTCTGGCGGTCGACCAATAAGAAGTCTAATAATTTCCACTTGGAGATCAGGCACAACATTCCTCGGTGAGATTTTGAATGCAATGCCGGGAAATTTTTACCATTATGAGCCGCTTCTGAAATATGAAATTATACAAATAAGGGGTCCTCCACATGCTGATAAAGCTTTAAAAACAATAAAAAATATGCTTAAGTGTAAGTTTGATGGGATGGAAGATTATTTCGAGTATGGAAAAGGGCATTTGCACCAATTTAGTCACAACGGTAGACTATGGGACCACTGTAAATATAAGAAAGAATTGTGTTTTGATTCTGAATTTACTGCAAGATTTTGTAAGCAGTTCCCCTTCCAAAGTATGAAAGTTGTTCGTGTCAGATTACGTCTCATACAAGAGATATTGCAGGATAAAGAGTGAGTATTGTTCTAAAGATTATAAATTTTACAACTATATTTTATTACTAACACCAATCTTAACATTAAAACTCTTTGTGTACTTTTTTCATGCTTATAATTTTAGATTCTTCTTCTTCTCAGCCATGAGACGCCCACTGCAGGGCATAGACCTTTAGATTACATATTTTATATCAACAAAAAAAACACAAAATTTATATAATGTTATTTAAATTGAAATAGTGTTAAAAGCCTTAAATAATATTCTTGAAATAAGGTTGTATAAGAAAATAATGTACTTTTTAAAAATTCAATTGTATATTCTTTGTTTCTAGACTAAATTTACACTTTAACGCAAAATGAATTCAAATTTTAGACCAATTGAGAAGTTTTATTATATATTGCCTTCCTACTTGAAAGTATATAAAATATTTGCTCATCTAAACATAAATATTTGAAATATAAATTTTATGCATCACTTACTAAAACATTTGTTTCAAAAGTTAAACATTCAATATGTAAGTTTTCTAATTACCATTGTAAATTCACAGTACAAAGGTATAAATCAAGTAATCCTTAGTAAAAATATTTTTTTTAATAGTTTACACAACTCAATTTGCCTAAGTCCTATGGCATGTTCATAAGAAAGTAAAATATTTTATTTTAAAATAGTAAAAGGTTTTGAATAAATAGGTTGTTTATCGCCAAAACAACCTTTTTTGTAAAAACAATGATAACATAACATATTGTTAGTTTAAACATCATAAAGAAAATATTTATGTAACAATAAAAACGCTTGCTTTGTATCCCGTTTAAGTTTTCAATATCAATATTATTTCTTTACTAGAAAAAGCCAACAAGTCTTGACTTATACATAATCTTTGTCTTTTTAATTCTGAGACTAAAATCCCCATTTAAAATATATTGTTATCTCTGTTTCCTCAAAGATAATGAAAGGGATGACAATATTTTTATACTGAGATTAAGATTGTGAGGATTGATTTCACCACATCTTTGATTTAATTAATTTTTAAAACAAAATTACAAAAACTCTTTAGACCCCTAATGCCAAAAATGTGTTACCAGATCATCAGTATAGATTTGCTCCGCCATTTTGAAATTGCAGTGACTTTTCTTATGACGATCTTGACAAAAATGAGAAAGTAAAACCTTTCAATCAAAAAATTTTTTTCAAAATAAAAAAAAACATACAGACGAATTGATAACCTCCTTCTTTTTGAAGTCGGCTATAAAAGGTTGCGAGTGACTGGACCGATGTACTAACCTCTATGAAATTGCATTAAAAGTTAAGTAGCGGCTAAACTCGTCAGATTCCGAAGATTTATGTTGTCTCGTGTACGGAGGGTTAAATATTTTTGTCGCACTATTAATTTGCGTGTAACTTTACAGGCTTAATGTAAAAGTGATATTGTTGATCCGTGACCCGCGTGGAGTGATGCAGTCGCGGCAACACCGCAACTTCTGTCAGCCGGCGCCAGACTGCTGGCAGCCGGAGTTGCTTTGTGCAGACATGATCAGTGACTATGTTGCTGCTGGCAGGCTGCTGAACCAATACCCAGACAGACTCATGTGAGTTGTTTAATATTATTTTGTTCCCATACCTGATATTCCTATTACAGTAATTCATTCCAATTGAACATTACTGCACCTACACGTAAAGGACAGCATTGGATTTACAAAATGTGTGTATATCGGTCCCCTAAATGAGCTTCTTGATGCTTCTGATATTCGTAAAAACAATTTTACGTAAGACGACCAGATGATGTTTAAATTCTACACTAAGTAGTAAATAATAAAGCTAGGGTTTTCCTTTCTTTTCTTTCTGTCGCTCTTTGGCCAAAATAAAGGTTTGCTTCTTGAGGTTGTCTCGTAGTAGTCATTAGTAATTGTGTTCTTTATAATTAAAACTCAAGATCGAAATGAACCCGTGCGAAAGCCTAACCTTTCGTGGATAGATTAAAAAAGATAAAAAATACTTCTTACTAGCTTATCATATATTATGAGTTTGTTAAATATTGTAGGTATTTGCTATAATAACTAACAAACCGTAATTAATGCCACTCTACATTGGGCGGACAATTAGCAAAGAACAAGTGGTGATGCTGTGTATTTGATAACGCATGTGAAAATTAATCGCATTGAGTTACATGTGAATTATTTTAACTGAAACAAAATTAAAATGTGTAATATATTTATTATTAAATTTTTTTTTGGATTCCTTACCTCGATAGGAAAAACGGAACCCTTACAGGTTCACTTTGTTGTCCGTCCGTCTGTCTGTCAAAACCCTTTTTTATTGAAGATCCACTAAAGGAGGTTGGATATGTTAACATATAACTGTACCTTAAAATGTCAAAGACTAGTCTTTGCCCGTGACTTCATCTACGCGGAATTTAAAAAAGGAACTTTACACCTATGCGTTATTGTAAACAGTAATTTTATCTTGGTGCAAAATTTCACCCAGAAAACTTATATTTTTATAATATTAGTAAAATGAATAACGGTTTCAGAACAATATAAATGAAACGTAGACAAAAGTATTTATTCATAGTATAAGCATGTTATAGTATGGAAACATGATAATTCCACTTTTACACGTAACTAGTTTGTAGATTTAATGGCTTGCCAATTATTTTTATGTAGTTACTAGTAAAAAAGGGGCTTGACAGACAGACGGACGGACAATAAAGTGATCCTATAACGGTTCCGTTTTTTTCCTTTCGAGGTACGGAACCCTTAAAAGATATAGCCTCCGCACTATTTTAGACAGTAATCTAATTGGCAAATTTCATCCAGATCCGTTTACGTATTGGTGTTATTTGCTAACAAAGATCTCTGTCGCATTTATAATATTAGTAAAATATAATAATTCAATTGGATAAATGTATTAACAGTGAAAGTAATTACTATAAAGCTTTTTATATTTTTAATTTAAAAACGTCATTGGAAACTTGGTACGTGAAAGTGTGCATGTCAATAAGCTCTAAATGCCGTTCACTTGTCCGGTTACCAATCTCCGATTCAAGATTCGTTGAGACATTGAGTTGCATTATATCTACAATTTTTAAACTTGTATGTAATCAGGCAATGTAACATAGTTAACGTTATCACAATATTTATGTAGATTAATGATTCATAAAGTTTTCATTGTGGACCCCTGAAGTCCACGGTAGACCCCGGATGGGCTACAGCTGCAAAAATTGAGAAGTAAATTTAGCGGTAGCGATCACTGACGTCAGTAATATTTTAAACGAGGTCTACGATAAAAAAAGATTTCAAATATATGGTGATGTTTAATTGAGGGTAGTAGATATTCTGTTCGTGCATTCTGATCGTGCACGCTAAAAATGGCGAGAATAAAAATAAACTGATAGACCGTACGCATGATTGCGTTTATCGGATATCTAGTTTATATTATGTTAATCCAGTTTGTAACCTTGATTGTTATTAATATTTTAATTACTAAGATATTTATGTCTCGTTTAAGTTACTGTTAAAAAAAGTTTAATGTCGCACTCTGAGTTTTTAATGGATATTTAAAGTTTCGCATAGTATATATTTGTCATATTAAATCTTCACTAATAGACCTCTAAGGTTTTATACAAAATTTTGTTAGATTGCGACTTCAAGGAAATTAACATTGTTTTTATTCTGACTACCAACTTTGCTATATTCGTGAAAGATTATTATAATACGTTACTTCTAGATTAATTAAAAAATCTAGGTCAATGACGTTATAAGAAAAGAAAGCAATCACGGATATGTATT